ATAAGAAAAATGTTGATTATTGAAGTGAAAAGTGTTAAAGAAGGAGGAATAAGATGCAAAGGTGACCTTGTGTTTTTAAATAGTTTATTTAGTGAAAAAGAAGGCTGAAAAGTTGCCCTTTTCTGAACTTTGAAGGGCCGTAACTTTTTAAATAAGGGAGAGCGTCGCTTTTTTCTTTCGGATTCGTAATCTACGCATCAAAATACGTAAGTACAGTCAAAAATTTTTTCAAAATCGCCGGGTGTCCAGATAACGAAAATTTACCAAATGATTATTGAACCGGAAAAAAACAAATGTTCAATCTAAATATTAATTACAATAACAAACATCGGCAACCCTGTTCAAGCATTCGCGATTCGTGAAGGAGCATCGTGGATATTTCAATAAAAAATATAATCATACGATAACCACGTAAGCCTAGTAGTGCGCATGCGCTCCAAACAGTCTACGTGACCGAAACAGATGCAAGCTGCGAGGTGGATTGAATCCGAGAAGCAGTCGGAAATTAACATCAGTGGAGTGTGGAAGCAATATCATGGGAAGATAGTGTGAACCAACGAAATCTTTTCTTTGTGCCTAAAGTAAATCGTAGTGACCGGCCGTTTTCATCCTAATTATCAGCCTATTTCTTGAATCGAGAGTTTCTCTGTTCGAAGCTTTTCGTTCGAATTTTATTTTGCCTAAGAAGGGAAAACCGAGAGCAAATATGGTTGAAAGGATAATAGAAGAATCTGAAAATTACGGCAAGTCTGTTTATATTTACCATTCGTGGGGGATTCAAATATTGCATATTGATGTTTTATGTATTTCATCTATACATTTGTTTTCATTTTTTTTTAAATTTACAAACAGCTTCTGCTCCTCTGCATTATAATTTCTTTGTTCTAGTGCTCTGTCATTTTCTCGCTCATCATTTTCACCAAACAAATCATTATTTCCTTGTAATATGCAATGTTTATATCATATTTAGTGTTCTTTCTTCCTGATTGTTTTGTTTACTATCATTTGTTTTGACATGTTTGTACAAGTTGTACTCTTTGTAGTGAAGTTTCTGTCATTGATATTTTCTTTACTACTTACTGATTATTTTTATTTTCTAAAGTTTAAAAAAATTGAAATCGATACTTGAATAACATGCATTTTGAACATTTTTTGGCAAAAAAGTAATCACCTAACCTATTACATTTGTTTTGTTATCATCGCTTGTTGCTCTCACGGGATTCTGGTTCATTCTAGAATTTAAAGGGCCTTTGTTCCCGGTTGAATGTACACCCTTACGATCCCCATTGATGTTTCTGTTAGCATTATGTTTTTTTACATCTTCAGTTTTGGGAAAGAGTATTCGTATCGTATTATAAAACTTTGATTTGTTCTGTTTTGAAGATTCTATAAAATCTATACATTCATATCAGAAAACTTCTTGAGATTTTCGTTTTTTTCTTCTAACGCCTCGTGTTGACATTGAAACTACACCTCTAACCAGGATCTTCTGTTCATTCTTATTGCTTATCAACAGGAAAATATGCTGACAAGGATAGAAATGACTTCCAGGTTGCGTCAGCTGATGTTGATATCAGTTAATATTGTGCTCTAAAATTGAATCCTACTTGAATGTTATTAAAGTTGTATAAAACTACAGGATATTCGTTTGTTTCTATTAAAATTACAAAGTGTGACGGTGAGTCATCCGTTGATGCAATAATAGTTTCATATTGGGAAACGTTGGTAATTGTTGCTAGAGGTTGTTGCCTTCTTTATGTATTATTTTAGATAGTGGCAACCCATATATATGATTTCACAAATTCTTTGGATCTCTCCATCATTTAACCAAAATGTTTGTTTATAGATATATCAAAGGGTGACTTTAGGACATGTGTTGGTTCGATGACCCTTTGCTTGAACTTGACCTAGTGCCATGCTATTACAGTCTAATAGTTACCTCGCTAGTTACCAAATAATACTCGATTGATATTATTGCTCGTATTTTCATCAGTTCGTTAACATTTCTACTTCATAATAATGAATTTAATTACTTATATTTAAAAATGGATTCACCTTTCTGATTTAAATTGAAGGGGGTTCAGTGCTTCCTTGAATAAAATTTCAGTATCCGAGTTGACGTTTAATTTTTTTAAATAATTGTGTAATTTTGGTATTTCTGTCGGTTGTTTGCTAATCTGAAGTCGGAATATGTGGCAAAAATAGAAACGTCTACTCAAAAGGTGAAAATGTCAAAACAATTTTTTTTTTGAAGCCTCAATCGATATTTTGACGTTCTCGAATTTTAAGTTGCCTGTCTCCGAAAGTTGATACCTACTTACAACAAATTTCATTTTTTAAATAATTGTGTAATTTTGGTATTTCTGTCGGTTGTTTGCTAATCTGAAGGCGGAATATGTGGCAAAAATAGAAAACGTCTACTCAAAAGGTGAAAATGTCAAAAGAATCTTTTTTTTTTTGAAGTCTCAATCGATATTTTGACATTCTCGAATTTTAAGTTGCCTATCTCCAAAAGTTGATACCTACTTGCAACAAATTTTGATTTCGTAGAAGTAACTGCGAGCTTCCAGGTAGAGAAATTTCGAAATTTTATTCTATGCAAGTTGGAAACTTTAGGTGGATCGAGAAATGTGAATGCTATTAGTTGCAACGTGAATGTTTCACAATTTAATTGCTTAAAATCGATTTTTTTATATTTCGATTGTTTAAATAATTTTTTCTCTATCTTATTTTGTTAATAACAATTGAAATTTTCTACCTGCACCAAAATCCTTCAAAAACATATTTCTAGAGGTGATTCCGAATCGAATGAGCTATCGCTCATATTTTTAGGACTTTTATCTATATTTTTCATGTTTTTGAACTTGTGATTAGCCTAGACACACACTGTCTTCCAATGTAATCGACTTAGTCATAGTAGTCCGGTAAATTGAGACCTGAAAACAGTAATGAAATAACGAAAATTGCGACATAGTTAAATTTTGGTGAAGACCTTTATTTTACTATAAAAAATAAAAATTTGAAAGTCCCAATCCTACCCATGAGCGCTTCAAAAATTATTCGGGGTCAAAGGTCAAAATTTCAGGATTTTTGAGTTTTTTTCGAAAATCGTAAGTTTTATCAAAAAAATTCCCCAGACCAAAGTTGTAGATCTCAAAACTCTACAAAAATGGTCCTAATGATTTTTCCTGTAAGTATCACCGTTCCTGAGATCGCAATTGTAAAAGTCACGTTCTATGTAATATGCACACGTTTCCACACCAACTATGGGGTAGTTAACTTCAACAATTATCTCTTCTGCGATTTCTTCTTCGTCTTCTTCCTCTTCCTCCTCTTCCTCTTCTTGCCGGTTGTTCATAAATTGTTCAAATAATAATGTATCAGTTGTCTCTTCATCAGCATCACATGAATCATTCTCTGTTGTACTCAACTCAACATTTGAACAAGAGTGACCTTGGCAATTGGTACACGCAGGTACACACTGTAACCCTACTTTTCTATAGCCGAATTTGGCACTACAACCTTACTTGCAAATACATAAAATGGTGTTAAGGAGTTTTTCAGGAGCAGGGGGGAACAAAGTTTTAATTGGTATTATTTATCAATTTCCAACCTCAGCCTTGAGGGTTAAGTTAATTTCCTTGCCATGTCTGTGGCAAGTGTTGAATAGCAGATGCCGATGCTGGAGGAAGACAAGATAGTTGTACTTGCTTCTTGTTTCGGGAATTTTTGACAAAGGTTAAATATCTATACTTATCAATGCAATCTACTTTTTTGGAGCTCTATAAATAGCAAGAAGAAATCGAATTCCTTTCGTAATAATGGGGAATGTTCCTCAATTTGGGTTATTACAGCAAATGCAAGTTTGAACAAAATAAAGTTGAGTTTAAGTCATGAGTTTTTCAAATTCACTTCGAAAAGTATTCAAATGGATGTTTCAAATGTTGGGTTTTAATTTTTGAAGGGATTTGTTTCTAATTCACATATTGGCAACAGCGCCTATATCAAGTTGAAATAATTTATACGTACCTAGATATTCTACTTCAAAAAAGGAAAATTATCTTTATAAATCAACAATTAAGGTAAAATATAAATTATAGTTCAATACCACCTCCACAAGCCACATAAACAACAGTTGTTTTGTTATTTATTTATATATAGGAAGATAGGTTAGGTGCAAAAAATGTCATAAGTTACAGAATGTCTCAAACTCGGAACATAAGTAAACATAACAGCACGCCTCTGAAACAGATCATCTTTGTTTGTCTCATTCAGGTAACATTCATTGTCCCTCATTAGCTGTAACCCATGTTGCCAAATGGTGAAATAGAAACGAATCCCTTTAAATGTTGAACGCATTATTTCATTCATCTTTTTTGAGTATTCAAATAATTTTATAAAGAAAAGGGTTGAAATGATAAGTTTAAAATGCGTTGTTTATACTACTTGATTTTTGTCAGGAGGAACATTCCCCATTGTCTGAGGTGGAGAATGAATGTCCGTAAAGACTTTCGCACAGCCAATTAAATATTTTTTTTCAAATAATTTAAAAACTGAATTTTTGCCCCTTCTGTACATTGCCGATGTAGTATTACAACCGGTTATCGCATGTAAAAATAAAATATTGTTTTGACATTTTGGATAAGCTGATAATAGAATGTACCTTTTATAACACAGATAAGGGAGGTTTCCTCCTGTGTATTCTTACGCCTCTGAAGCAACTGACAACAAATCAGTCGGGACAATAACTACTGGTTTCAGAATGGACGATACCCACTGGCCAATAATATGTGTTTGCGGAATGGGTAGAAAGAACGGCGTTTTAGTTTGAACCACCTCATTATCGCTTAAAAGCTATAAATGTTTACGAGAATTCAGAATGATTTATTAGTTTTCAACTAATAATTTATATGAGGGGGAGCCACATAAATAATAAAATCAGTTGTAAGTCTGCTGTTGCTAACTTTGCTTCAGCTTCGATGAAAAAAAGTGTCCATTAGATTTTTTTTAAGGACACGACAATTCTACGGAACCTCAAACCATTTCGATATCCAGTTTTTGAGCGCAGTTCTAAATATAAATGATATATTCGAAAGGCGTGATATACGAATAAACCGATAATGGTTGACAACAATGTATGTAGTATTTTTTAAAATACCAAATCAGTACATCAGGTTTCCAGCCTTGATCTACTGTAGTACAGCAAGCGCCAAACGAGATGGCGAGCCCGCCCCCATGCGCACATTCTCATTTTCAATATAACCCCTACTAGTAGAGCTCTTGCTCTGTACAGAGGCGTATCACTACTTGTCCTCCAATGATGTTGGCGTTTGGCATTGTCTAAATAATTTGTATTGTTTCTGAAAAAATTACATCGCCTAACAAAAAACCAGTCATCTACCTGTAATATTAAACAAAATATGAAAAGATATTACAAAGAAGTCATGTTCCATTTGCTACCCTAATTAGAACTAATTGTAGGTACGACATTGGCCGGCAAGAGGCTCATCGAAATCCAATAATAATTTAGTTGGGAGAGGCTATACCTGTGCGATCGCTCACCATCAAGTTTGGCGCTTGCTATATTTCATTTGTTTTCTCCCAATGAGTCATTTTTAAATGGCATGACATAGTATACTTGCACGGCAAAATCTAATAAATTCAATATTTCGTCCAGAGAAAGAGAGGGAGATAACCATATAATTTGTCAATTACGTAAATCTAAACGAGTTCGTATTCCGCG